CATATATATACGAGCTATAACCAAACTCCATTTAATATATCTTTTATTCCAAAAAACTTGGATAAGATACACTGTGATTAAAGGATTGCATACACAGCGTTCCTTGAATGTTTTATATATAAAAAATTTTCAATTGTTGAAACAGTACCAAATAACTCTAATCCCAAGTTATTTTGTAGTGGACAAATTCAGTTCCTACAATTAATAAGTTGTTATATTCTTATAATTAGTATTGCAGTTAGTAACCTGTTGATTAGTAGCCTTTTGAATATACTTGTTAATATATGTTGTTATGTTTTTTAATATCTGCTCTAGGTTATACTATATATATATATAGGATTAAATATTTTACTAAGTGGGTTAGTTTTAGGGTTGGGGAAATGTTTTTATAGGTTAATAAATATACGCCCTAACTTGGTTTTTGACCATTTGGGGAGGAACCAAATAACCTTTCTAGATCTTCTTTTCTTATTTTTGCAATTAACAGGTTTTTTATATTGAATAGTGGTATTTAACAGGGTTTTATATTGAATAGTGGTATTTTTGTATCCACTATTTTTAGTGCAAATTATAAAAATCTTTGTTTATTGAAACCTCCTTATTATAAGAGTTAGCGCTAATTCTAAATTCAATGGAAGTGGGTATATGTTTGATAACCGAAGGGGATGGTTGGAATTAGGATGCACGTATAATGAGTTGGAATCTTTAGCAAGATCTAGGGTGACATCTAGAAAATCTACTTGTCATTACTATTGTCCTAAGACCTAAACTTAAATACCCTATAGATCATTTTCCTAATACGGTCTACCTTAATTTTAGTTGAGTTTTAACAACTAATAATCCATCATCTCTATATAATCCTACACTATCTGAATCTAGACAATCTGCCTTCCTTTTTTTTTTTAAGTGTGTGTGTATATTTGTGTGTGTGTGTGTGTGTGATGTATCTAATTATGTCTGGATGCGTATGTATTATAATCTGATTGTGGTCACGCGTGAGTTAAGACCATATTCACAAACTTTAAAATAAAAACGGAAAAGAAAAAAAATATACATGTATTATCAGATGACCGGAGAAAGCTTTTGTCTTGTCAGACGTAATTTCAATGAAGAAATGAATTGAATAAACATATATATTTTTTCTTTTCTCAATATTTGGTTTTAAACTAATAGTGATTAAATTTGGATTTTTAAAAATTGCCAGTTTTAATTTTAATATTAAATTTTATCATATAAATTTATAATTATTAGTTAGTAAAAATTATTTTTAATATTACGTATTTAAAGATCTAAAAACTAAAATAGCAGGATTTTGTTGTCAAGCTTTTGAAACTTCGTTTTTGATTGGATAACAATAGTGTAGGATCGTTAATTCATCTGAAACCCATTTATTTTCTTTTCAACACCATCACTTGATATAACACAGAGTGTGTTGAAACAAAATCCTTATGTTATAAATTTTTTATAAAATAATTATACTACTTTGTATTGAGCACTCTTTTAAGAATAGTAATTGTTGGTTATTAAATTCATTCCGTGTATACCAATTATATATATATATATATATATATATATATATATATATATATATATATATATATAAGTTTTTTATTAAAATTTTTTTTACATAATTTAATTGATTAAAAAAATATGTTTTTAGCCATTATGTTAAAAACTTGTTTTTTAATTGCTGCCCAGATACTACAGTTCGGATATAACCGGATGAAACCCGGATATAGAGAGATTTTCTATGGTCTCAGTTAGAGCCTGTGTTAATGTAAACAAAATAGACCAAACCGGATATAAAAGAAACCCCCATATAAGAATGTCCCGACAACTCTCTTATACCCGGGTTTTATATATATATATATATATATATATATATATATATATATATATATATATATGTTATAAATTAAGATTTAAAATATGTTTTTTTTACACATCATGTTTCAAAAAATCTAAAAGCGAATTTAATTTTCAATTAAATTAAAGACATTTTCCATATAATTCTTTCTTTTATAAATATATATATATAAATATAATATACATATTATATATTAGTGTATATATATATATATATATATATATATTTTCTCGGCACCTTTGTAAAGTGTTTGAAAACCATTTCGCGGGTTGAGCCAAGCTTTGTGAGTGAAATTGGAGGCAATGATATCTGTACTAGTATAAAGTTACGAGGTTTTGAGTGTGCTGGTCTTCTTCAGATTGTTGATCACGCTAAATAAAACGTTGTCACATAAAAACTCGAATAAATTCTGCTCAGCATCGTTGCAGTATAAACAACAGGTGAGCTCTGGGGGTGTTGAACAAACACTACTGTGCCTGAGCAAGCGTCTGCAATAGAAGATTGTCTAGTCGCCCAAGTAGACGGATATTCTCGAATACGATTGGCCAGCTATTATATATATATATATATATATATATATATATATATAATCGACTCTCCCATCGAGATTCGACGTATGAGGGTCAAGCAGATCAGTTTCTAGGAAACCGACAGCCCGACAACGACACATAAGATTCGATTATACTGGTGAAGGCCTCGTGCAGGACCATCCACACTTTTTGAAGGGACGAATACAGCGACCTGGTGCATCGAGTGCGATAAGGTTCCCAAACTCCGCAGGTTTTGAATTCAGAGTTGTCCTTCTTCTAAACCAGTTGCCATCCACGGCTATAGAACCCAGTCTGTCCTGCTATTTTACCCATAGCTGGAGGGAGAGGAAGAGGATTCATACCTTTCCCAAGGGTATTAGCACGTAAGTGAATGTAATGGATTCGACTGGAATTCATTACATTCACTTACGTGTTGGAATTCGAACTCGGCTCTGCGATTCTTCAATCCAAGCCGCTATCCACTACTCCACCGTGTATATATATATATATATATAATTTATTTCTAATTCGATATTTTTATTAATTCACACGTTATATTTAGTGGTTACCCGAGTAGACGTCCATCTTTTTAACAGTCTGTATTATATCTCTTCGAGAAAACTTAATAAAGGAAATATGTTCTCCAGCAGCGTTCGAAACTGCGTTCAGATCCGGCGACATCTTTGTAAACACTCAAGGAAGAAAACAGAAAAAAAAACAAAAAAACTTGTTCAGCTCATAATAAAGAAAACAGAACAAAAAATATAACTGCATTAGTCGAAAGTCTTAATCTCAAGATTTTACAAGAAATAACGATGAAGAAATTGTTACTTTATCTAAGTCCGTACCTGATGACCGGGGAAGACGAAATTATGTAATGAACTCTGACCCCGACAAATAATTAGTGCAACTGTTGCGAAAGTATTCTATGGCAGAGACGGGCAAATTATTCTTAAATTTAATACAAGCGACGAGCAAAACGCGCCCGCTTAACGGAATATTAATCGGTGCAAAGAGATTACATGCATACATCTAAATTTTACGGCTATCAAAATATGTCAAACTTGCATACAAACATGGTAGGGACTGCGGCTATGTACGGTGCCTACACATACACACAAGGATGAACAAACGCCTATATATATAGCATATATATATATATATATATATATATATATATATATATATATATATAGAGAGAGAGAGAGAGAGAGATTCAAGTAGACATATGTACGTAAGATATCATCCCTTTTGCTTCTCCTCGTAAGTAATTAATTTTCTTCAAACTCAGTTCTCATATCTATCTATCTATCTATCTATCTATCTATCTATCTATCTATCTATCTATCTATCTATCTATCTATCTATCTATCTATCTATCGATCTTTTTAATCATTTCAGCCACTAACTGCCACATATGGCCTGGTGCTTCTGCTGTATATTTAGAGATTCATGATAATATTCAAAGAAGTTCGGCAATGTTATTGGTCCTGACATGGTATCTCGGCTTCATTTACTTTCCAACCGCCGCAGTGCAGCTTCCCTGTGTGTTTTCCATTAATACATTCATGGTAATTGTTCTGATGCACTTTCCTCCATGGTACCCAGACTTTATGAATTTAAGCGCAGTACTAGATTGGCGGAGAGGTCTCGTCCAACTTTCAGTTCCACTAGCAAGACGCAACAGTTAGTTATATTATAGCATTATCTTCTCTTGCATTTCTAGCTTCTGGAAAACTCTTCTGGTTTCATACTTTCAAACCAACTTTGATCTTTAAAAAAAGATTAAGTGCAGTGTCAACTGTTATCTACTGTCCTCGCAGTTCCTCTTCTTTTATTCTTCTCTATTCTTAATAATATTTATCTTTTTCTTATTGTTTCACATTCAGTAGCCCCTTGTGTTTCAGTGGTTTTACCCTCTTGCTTGGGGTGAAATGCTTATAAAAATGACACAAAAGTTTATTGATGATGAAAGAATCTCAGAAATATTTACAGGAGAGAAACCATTGGAAGGAAAGTATCCAAGGAGACTGATGACGCTCGTAGTTGTCTGAAAAGCAAGAAAATTGAGTAGAGTTTCAAAAGCGAAATGGGCAAGCGACAAAACCATTAGAATTATCGTCCTCTTCCAGCTTCTTGATTATCTGACTATTAGGAAAGTTAAAAATTGAAATAGATAAATCTTAATAGAAAGATGGCCATAAACATTGACCATTGATGATTACACTCGTTCAACGCGTCTGTAGCATCTATCTATCTATCTATCTATCTATCTATCTATCTATCTATCTATCTGATCCTGATTCTTTCTTTCTTTCTTTCTTTCTTTCTTTCTTTCTTTCTATCTGATTATAATTCTACCTATCTCATTCTGATTCTATCTATCTATCTATCTATCTATCTATCTATCTATCTATCTATCTATCTATCTATCTGATCCTGATTCTTTCTTTCTTTCTATTTGATTATAATTCTACCTATCTCATTCTGATTCTATCTTAGCCTATTTCTATCTATCTATCTATCTATCTATCTATCTATCTATCTATCTATCTATCTATCTATCTATTTCGGTCTGTTCATACACATATTTCTCTGTTCATATGTATCAATATTCCCCAGTTCATTTCGTTTTTTCTATCTATCTATCTATATATATAAATATATTTACTACAGTCTGCTCAAATCTATCTAGCTATCTAGCTAGCTCGGTCTGTTCATTTCTTTCTGTCTCTTCATATATATCCATCTACTACAGTCTGCTCATATCTATCTATCTATCTATCTATCTATCTATCTATCTATCTATCTATCTAGCTTGCTCTGTTCATATCTATCTGTTTCTCTCTGTTCATATATATATCCATGTACTGCAGTCTGTTCATTTCTATCTTTTGTATGTCGAAGGACCGAGTCTCTTCTTGGGAAACAGCTACCCGACCCCGTTTTATACGAGGTCTACGGAGGCTCGGATCCGCCACATTAAATTCGGCTTTGTACCGCGTGGGGTAGTTGGTAGATATTCTGTAGTGGGAAATTCGTCTCCAGCTGTGCTGGTCAAACTCTCTGCCTACAGGCATAGAGGATCCCCAGACTAGGCGATATCAAAAGGCAGGGTCTGGCCAAACAAAAAACAAGGAACGAAATGAAATCGGTTGGACTAAATACCGGAAACACTTATCAAAAATAAAATTAAAATTTCAACGGACTCTCTCTCTCTCTGCCTCTCTTTTGTGCGCATGTGTAGTCGTATCAACGTAAACATTACTATATTCCATTGAAGTCCTAAGGAAAGAAACGTGTCACACGAAACGAAATCTTTTTCTACTTTGACATAGATTTCTTAAAATTGTTCTTGATCTATAAAATTGCATATCGTTCCCCATATATATATATATATATATATATATATATATATATATATATATATATATATATATATATATATATATATATATATATATATATAGATAGATAGATAGATGTAGTAATGGATAGCGGCTTGGATTGAGGAATCGCAGAGCCGAGTTCGAATTCCAGTCGAATCCATTACATTCACTTACTAATATCCTTGGAAAAGGTGTGAATTCTCTTCTTCTCCCTCCAGTTATAGATAAATAGCAGGACAGAGCAGGTTCTATAGCCTTGTATGGCAACTGGTCTAGGAGAAGGACAACTCTGAATTCAAAACCTGCGGAGGGTCGTTTGGGGACCTTCTGGCACTTAGTGCACCAGGTCTCTAAATTCGGCCCATCAAAATGTGTGAATGGTCCTGCACGAAACCTTCACCACTTTAATCAAATCTCATGTACTGTTGTCGGGCTGTCGGTTTCCTGGGAACTAATCTGCTTGACCCTCATACGTCGAACTCGACGACGATATATATATATATATATATATATATATATATATATATATATATATATATATATATATATATATATATGATGGATTGTCCTATCGTGAACGTTAAATGAAGGTTAGTATTGGATGGTGCCTTTTGTTTTACTCTTATGCATGCTAGCAGGGGCTATTTTGAAGAAAATCAGGTAAGGAGAAGACATATTTCATTTGTGCTTTCTTAAGTGTGATACTAGCCTGGCATTGTTGCGGGTAACAAAGCCACACTGACAGATTTTGATACTGTCTCTGTATTCAGAGCCTACCAAAGCTGATCACAGTGCTTCATTCTACTGTCTTCAAAACTCTTTCACTTAATGAAACATGTCTTACGCAGTTCTTTTCGGTTTGATGCTTGGGCTTCACAGGTTTTCTGATCAAAGTTGAGACTTTTCAAGCTGTCTTTCAATTTGTCTTTGTAGCCTACGAGTGGACGTTCTCCTGAACGCTTGAAGATTGGTAGTTGTCCATAGAGCACTTTCTTTGGAAGCCAATGCTCATCCATCCTCACATCATGACCAGCCCACTTTAGTTGTATCTTTGCTAGAATGGTTTCATTGCATGTGATGTTACATTTCTTCAGTATTGCACTATTCTTGACCCTGTCATCCTATTTTAGATCACATATGGTATGAAGACAGTTGCATGTGAAAGGCGTCAAGTTGATTTATGTGCTTGCGGTACAGGGTCCAAGTTTCAGCACCATAGAGAAGGGTTAAGAGAACGACTGATCTGTATATGTCGATCTTTACTCTGAGAGACACGTCTTTGGTCTTCCATAACCTATGTTTAAGATTACAAATTGCTGTGCTGGCTTTGGCTATTCTGGATTGGATTTCTGTTTATTTTTTCATCAGGAGAGACTGTTGATTCAAGATATGTGAACGCTTAAAGAGTGTTTAATGCCGTACCATCAATGAAGACGGAAGGATTTATGAGAGATGTATTTCCTGGTACTGGCTGGTACATTAGCTCAGTCTTCTTTATGTTGATAGTGAGTCAAAATGCTTTCGCTCTTTCAGAGAATTTATCAAGTATAATTTGAATGTCTTCTAGACTGTGTGCTAATAGATCAGCATCATCTGCAAAGAAAAGATCACGTACCAGCCGGAGACCAAGTTTCAATTGTGCTTTAAAACGTTGTTTATATATATATATATATATATATATATATATAATTATTTTTATGTGATGATGTTGAAAAGTGATGTTTTTTTCAACATCATCATCATCTACACAGAGTGTGTTGAAACAAAATGGCTATTTTGTAGTGATTTTATAACATACTTATGTTATAATTTTTTTATAAAACATAATTATATCTGCTCTACATTGTATTGAGCACTCTTTTAAGAATAGTAATTGTTGGTTATTGAATTCATTCTGTATATACCAATTTATATACTTTTATATATATATATATATATATATATATATATATATATATATATATATATATATATGTGTGTATTTAGGCAGCAATTTTTCATTGATGCATGTTTCATTAAATAATACAGACAAGGAATTTACTTCAATAAATACTTGTCAAAATATATATATATATATATATATATATATATATATATATATATATATATATATATTATATATATATATATATATATATATATATATATATATATATATATATATATATATATATATATATATATATATATATATATATATATATATATATATATATATATATATATATATATATATATATATATATATATATATATATATATATATATAAATATAAAAAAATAATGACATATTAATGTTTTTTGACATTAAAAATACGTCAAAAAACGACATTATTACGTCATTATTTTAATATAATATATATATATATATATATATATATATATATATATATACAAGTTTACATTGAAATCAACGTCCAGGCCTGACGATTGCGTTTAGTATGAAAGAGGCTGGGTGTTGAATTCAATGTCCACGTTTATACTTACATATGCTCTCTTTCCCACATATTGAGAATCTTAACCTAAACATATCCCACATATTGTCAGCACTAATTTAGTAAGTACAGGAAATAAATTGAAAAAAAAGCACAGTTAGGAACTTTTGAACCCCCCCCCCAAAAAAAAAAACAACAAATAAATGATTAAAACATATAAAATACGCAAGGTCTTAAAATTGTCTCTCTGTCCATGCATCCATACTTTAGCACCTGTTCATATATATATATATATATATATATATATATATATATATATATATATATATATATATATATCCGTGTGTGTCTGGGAGTGTGTGTGTAAATTAATGACAGAAAAATTAATTGGGTTTATATTTGGAAAGTCGTATAACTCAATATTTTATGTCTGTTTAAACGGGTGTGCATGCTTATCTAATTAAAGCATATCAAACATTTTCAGGTTTTAATATTCTACATTCATAACAGATAAATATTAGGCGTCATATGTTTTACTAAATTTAATTAGTTTTTTATATTATTACAGGAAGTTAAAATAATTTTATGCTAAACATTTTTTTACAGATGCATTTCTGCAGTTTTCATTTGAGAGTTTCTTGACACACACATATATATATATATATATAAGCTGCGCGCATCCACTACCAAGAATTGAAACCCGGACAATTACGTTATCAGGCAAATTTATAACAACTGTACCAACAGGCTTCGGTGACGAAGTGGTCGTGAATTAGACTTGACGAATTAATTAATCATAATTATCTTAAATCCTCCTCATAATATCTATCACTAGCAGCATGGCCCGGCGTCGCCCGTGCTTGATTCAAAAATCGTACGACTCATACAGCAATCGCTATCACTTGACTTAAAATATTTTTACCTTTCCTTGCCTTTAAAGGAGTGCCCTTTGCCGTGCTGATGTTGCTACATGCCTTACTTCTTGCCTATCTCACACTGCGAATTTTTTCTAAACTCTATACTAAACATTAAATCTGTTACGAAAAAGAACTAAACAAAAAGAAAACAATACGACCAGATTTAAAAAAGGATTCGTAACTGGAAAAACCGAATGAAAAAAGAATGTTAACAACAAATAATTTTTCACATCCAACCCAGTTCTGCGGAATCAGAATCAACGTTGAGTTTAAGCAAGCGAATGAGCCAATTGGAGTAAAGTGCCATGCAGATTTAAATTTTTCCCACTTGTGACGAATGCAGCTATCGATTTTTTTTCATTCGTGTCAGTCAGCTGTTGGCTTTCACGCTGGCCAATAGAATCTTCCTGCCTATTCGTGGCAGCCAGCTATAGGCTCTCGCTATGGCCAGTAGATAATTCGCTCTTAGCCTTCCCACTAACTTGGAGCATGTACATATAAATTTTGGTGCAAATCCGTCGAAAATTGCGGTCGTGCATTCGTTATGCACACACCCACCCACATGCACACATCCTGCCCTTTATAGATAGAGATTTGTGTATCCTTGCTTGAACCGACTTCTAATGTTCCGTATGGTTCGGCTCCTTAAAGCAGGCATTACAAAACCTGGCATCTCGGCTTCAGTCACTTTCTCACCATAGTTTTGATTTAAAAAAAAAAAAAAACTATAATTAAACGAGAAAGCAGTTTACTGAGATGAAAAGTCTTAGAAATTGTTTCAATCGCTAAATCATCGACGGTAAATTTCACCGCTCTGGGCAGATCTTCTATTATCACAATGTGGGACGTTGAACAACAAATTTGATTGAAACATACAGAGAAATTGTTATGGTGACCTATCTACATTCGAATGAACTCTTCCTCCTTAATAAATACTAACCTGCGAGACTTCCTAAGCAGGAGGATGTCGGGACGCAGTGTAACCTGATAGTTCGGATGGACACTTCTATCTGCTGACTAATAACACTCTTGTTTTGTATATATGTTCTGTTATTTCAATACACTTGTTCAACCTACCTTCTTATTTCTATGCCTTTCTTTCTGGCCC